AAGATGTGCATTCTTCTTGTTACTGTGTCTAAGCAGCACTAGGTTTTTTGTTTTTTTTCAGCTGACTGACATTGTACTGCACGCAGCCCTGCGTTTGAAGAGATGCTCATATTTCTCTCCTCTCTTTTGTGGTAGCTTTTACACCCTCTTTGGGTGCACTGGTGGCTTTGAAGTCTTATGGGTTGCGCTGTTTCAGGCCAAAAGGCCCGAAGCAGCATGTGTAAAATTTTCCTAAAACGTTACCTCTGCCTGTCTAACATACAAGCAGCTTTTCTGTGCCCAGGAGGTAATCATAAGGATGATCAAATCTCGTGGTGTGTGGGCTTCTCCCTCATGCCCTTGGAAGCAATCCCCCAGACAGACCTGCCAGCTGGGTGGCTCGCTCACAAATCTAAGCTTACTCACCTTCATGTCAGATGGCCACAGCTGTGAGCACCACCATCTGGGCTGTAGCCTCTGTATATAAGATGAGGCTAATTTCAGATGAGCTGTGGAAATGGCCTAGCCATAGCATCATTTAGAAATCATCTGCTGGGTCAGGGAAAACCCACACTGTGCTCTCTTTATGTTGTGAGGAGGTATGAGAAAATGTGCAGAGCCAAACGATGAGCTTCTGCTCTGGCCTGGAGCAAGAGAGGAGGTATGAGCCAGTCCAGGGTACATGGCACATTTCCTGCTCTCTGCACTGGGAGAAAAAAAGCAAAGATTGCTGGAAAAGTTACCCCTACTTATTGCCCTGTGTTTGACAGAGGGCAGGCAGCATAAGTTACACTGGTGTCCCATCTCCTCAACTACTGATTTTCTCTGCCTATGCTTCTTATCCAACTCAGTTGTGTCCTTTGGGGGCTAGTGGAGGTTTAGTCCTTCTTCCTTCCTCACCTTTGATCATGATATTCCACTTGGCACTGGAGGGACTGAAAGTGAAGAACAATGCAGTTGTGCCTGGTATTTCAGGGGTGCTTAACACTGTGCTGAACACTCCAACATGCAGTGAGGAAGAGGAAAATTTTGTTTAGTGTTGTCAGGAAAGGGAGCCCTATCTCTCTTCTCAAGGTCTTTTGATACCTCCTTTAGCTCCCTAGAGGGTTTACTGGGTAGGACCCAGGCTCTGCCTCAGCCACGTGACCCTCCAGGGATATATTTTGTCATTGGAAGTGTTCAAACTCCCTTCCCTCCTCGTCCTGCTCAAAGACGAAGAATGACAGACTTTCATTTACAATGAACTGTTGCACTGCATAAGTGTGAAGAGTGCTGTGAAGGGAAGTCAGACCTGTTGGATAAAAGCGCTGCTGGTTGGGTCTGAGGGCATTTGCTGGAGTGAGAGCTGTGTTCAGATGAAGCTGTGATTGCAGACTAAGTGGATGCTGACCCTTGCTGCTGGCAGGGTTATAACCTTTTGTGTCTCTGACCTATGCCAGCTCTCCAGCGTGTCGTACCTTTGTTACTGGCACCAGGATAGCAAACAAAGACTGCTTTCTTGTCATTCTTGATGATGTATCTGAGTGACACATCATCATTACCCTGGAGCAGCAGGAATCCTGCCTCTTTGTGTCAGTCTCTGTGCTAGGGAATAGGGTTGGTTATTCCCAGTGCAGTCCTCACTACTGTGATTCTCCTAAGCAGAGATTTGGTCTCCCAGCCTAGACATGGAGCATCTATGCCAGCTGCAGGACAGAAGCTCCTTTCTGAAGATTTCTATCTTTATGCCATGAGCACTAGAACAGTTTTGACCCACTGTTAGCTGCAGAGACAACTAAAAAAAATTAAATTTTGGGGATGAGAGGCAAGAACCAAATTAGTTTGGTACAGATGGGAAGAACGGCCTTCCGTGTGGTGTATTTGATGCTTTATATGCATTTTGCTGTACTGTGGGAATGTGCAGGGGTGGGGTGGTTCAGAATGTGTTTCTGAAATGGTAGCTGAAGACATTGCAGTGACAGTGGTGGCAGACAGTTCTACTCAGTAATGATCAAGGTACACCATGTCAAATAAAGAGAAGAAAAATAATCTTGGGAAGCTCAGTAATAAAAATAATAAAAATGGCTTCATTTTGAAAAGCAAAATATTATCCCTCCCCAAATACTCCAAAGACCTTTTTTCAGGTGGGGAACATAGCTCTGTCACAGCTGCTTCGGGAAGAAGGTAGTCAGGGGCCTGGACTAGCAATAACCCAAGTGGCCTCTTTGGCCAGCACTGCCTGCCTAGTCTTGAGGGCTTTGCAGTGCCAAAATGCAAGTTCCTCAGAGTGGCTGCATGCAGCAACCAGACCCACCTCTAGGGGATGATTTATAGTGTACTTTCTAGACCACAGCCTTACCTCATCTTTAGATTGTAAATTTTGTAGGAAAAGTTGATAAACTTGCAAGAGCCACAGTCTCGACAGAGATTTCCAGGTACTTCTAACATGATTCTTCTGAGGGACTGACTACAGGCTTAGGGTCTCCAAGAATGTACTAAGAGCCCAACATGTATAAGCACTTTGACTTTTATCGTGAGCAGTCCTGCCCTTGCCCCAAGTTGTTGAGCTCAAGATCTCAGCAAGGAGCACTTGCAGGGCTCTTACTTACCATTATAGGGTATTGATATTAAAATTGTACTTGGTTTGCATATAGTATTCTTTCTATGTCTTATATGTGCAATCATAAACTGGGAGCTGGGTTATTTAACTCCCAAAAAAGGTTTGTAACTTTGTGCTGTGCCAAAGGGTCTCTGATTTGTAAAGCAAAGGGGATAGGAAAGCGTGGCTAGAGTTGCAACCCTGGGGATGAGGGCAAGGACTACCATGATAGTTCCCTAAATTCTTACAACTGTGGATTTAAGCATGTTATAGCTGTGTGTTTACAGCAGACATATTTAGAGCTATATATTTAGAGGTGGCTCCCAGGCATAGGATGCAAAGGGGCACCCATCAGAATTTAACTCTGCATTTTTCATAGCTCATGTTTCCAGCAGTATTTCCCAGAAAACTATGGTATCTGTGACAGTTTGTTGGCTTTGAAGTTTCAAGTAATGGAATTCAAAAGTTTCTCTAAGTGAAATTCAGCTTAGCAAGAAGGATGCAAACGTTACTTTTCACGACATCATTTCCCCAAAGTAAGATTGTTGGGGGGTTTCCGGTGGAATTTTCATGGAAAATTGACTTGGAACACAGAGTTTGGGTTGATTTGACAAGGGAATATCAAACTCATGGTAAGTGTCTTTAAAGAGTGAAAAAAACCCAAACAAACCAGAAAACCACAACAACTCCCAGTTGCTTTCAGCTTTAGGTGGTGTATCCCTCCTAGCTCCCTGTTGCAGTAGACTCTGAGATTGCAGGAGCTGATGTCCGTGCTGGAATGAGAACCTGAGGGTACTTCTTCAGTTTTCTTTTCTAGCATCCCTTAATTGCACTTTCTCCTTAGCCTGGATTCTTCAGTGTTTTACATCCTGAAAATCTAGGGGATGGTAAGACCCAGTAGAGATTTGTAATTCCTTCCTACATAACGTCACTACCTCTTTTTATTTGGTCATGGATACATAAAGGCTAATAATTTCTGTAGTTAGTGGAATGACTGAGAACAAGGATTTTGTTCTCTCTTGTCTAGTAAATCCTGCAAAACCTGTAGGTATTACTTTTAATATTTTAAACCATCGTAGCCACATCATGGGAGCTGTCTGGTATTAGAAGAAGTTTCCAAAGGGCTGTTAAAATGAAGGAAAAAATGCCTTCCAAAAACAAACACCACTTTAAACAAACACATTTGATCTAATAAAGCTGTGAAATTTAAAATTACACCAGTATAATTATGATTTCTTGCTGTAAATGTGCGTAGATTTGTCTCTCTTTGATTTTTTTCACACTATAAAGATTAGTTTACTGTCTATGGACTGAATCCTTCTTGCATTACACATGACTCAATCCATGGGGCCCAGTGGCCAGAAAAAAAGACCCAGAAAGGCATTAAAATAGTTTAGCCCATTCAGTTGCAAAGTCATCTCACGCACAGTTTCCCCCTAAATGGTTTTGTGTATATTATTGCCAAATATGAATCTGCAGAATATCTCCTGGCCTGGAATCTTGCCCCCCTAGAGCAGTCAGGTGTTGTCCTGCATCCTTGCTTAGTGGCTGGTACGTGTTAGGATCTGTGTACTGTGCTGTTTTCCTAGGCAACAATTTTCAAATTTATTTTCACAATTCATTTATATACTTTGTATGTTTCCAGAGTCAGTCTTCATCTGTTTGTTCATTTTTTTTAAGCTACCTACATAATTTGCAAAGTTATCCATAGTGTGCAATCACTAAAGGAAAACAGATTTAAGCTTACTTTATCAATAATATTTAAAGACAGTGAAAAGTGCTGGTCGGATTATGCAGATGTGGGGCTATTTTCATAGTAAATGAACCAGTTTTAATGTCTAGATAAATAACTGGATGCCTATAAACTAAACCTCTGCATCCAACTAGTCCAGCTTGCCAAGGATCATCATCAAAGTTTTAAATCTCTTTAAAAGTTATATTTCAGAACACAGCTCTTCTGTCTGTAACTTCTGTTGTACTGTTAGAAATGGAAAGGGGCTGTGAAGCCTGCCGACTCAGCTTTCATGTGCCCTTCCCACTGGTGTTTCTCTTTTCCTGCAGAATCAAGATTGTACAGCAGAGCGTTTCTGCTCCCTTTTACATGTGGTCCTTGTTAAAAAAAAAATACAGTGAAGTTTAGCTGTAGTAAAATTATTTATTTGATCTTTTTTTAAACTGGTGCAAAAAGTAAATATGTTTACTGTGTCTCTTTCCATTCAGTGTATTTCCTTTTTTAAGCTCCATTTGTGTTCAACAAGACAGCCTCTTTCTCCAAGATTAACATTTCTTATGATTGTTCCTGACAGAGGATTTACTTTCAGAGGCCCTGCTAAGGATAACCAAAAAAGGGCATGTAGCAAGACAGTTTTGGCAGCTTGCACGAATTTTCGAAGCTTTTTAGGTCTTGGTTTTCTGATGAGTGGCTTCCTGAGCATGCCTAGGGAATGACAGGCATCTCTGCAGGCAGGCTGAACCCACCTTGGCTTGTGCACAGCCATTGGCTGTCTATTAGAATAAATTGAGGACAATGCATACCGCTGCCTGCCAATTGTAAACATAAGGGATATGTATTCACTTAGCATTGACTTTTGGGAGGGGCCAAGGAAAAGCTGTAGTTTTATTGAATAGGGCTGTGTGTGAGGCTGCTGGTGTGTCTTTCTTGCTGCGCTCCTGCCCAAGCAGCAGTTATTCATTTCCTTCCTACTAGTTGAATACTTTTCAGCCAGAGGTAAGGACTTAACGATACGTATTTGTTTGGGAGTGAGCCGGTCTGACTGCGTTTGCGTTACAGCTACAGATCAGGCAGCATGCAAAATCTAACGGGCTGTGGGAATACTGCGAAAAGTGTCAGAGACTATTTCTGCTCTCCTCCTCTCTCTCTGTGCCTCACCCCCACCCCCTTTCCAGATGTTCGTGGTGAACTAAGGGAGATCTCTGTGCCAGGCGGGTGGAGGGGATGCCTGCTTGCCCACCCCGGCAGACCTGAATGAGGAGATGCAGGGCAGGATCTGTGCTGGTCCTGCCACTCCATTTTTGATCCTTCAGTGGGCTTGTTAGTGGAGCAATAACCTATCTATCCTTTCTTGTTTCCCCTCTACCCCCCCCCTTTTTTTTTTTAAAGGAATTGCAATAAGAGTTTTTAGTTTATTAAGGTCTGCTGAATTGCTTTTAATTTTGCATCCTAATACCTGGGCTTTCAGGGCAGCCTGACTATAAAGGCAGTCTCTGGGCGTAACTGATACAGATACAGTAAAGCTCTGGTTAATGTAAGTGATCTGATACTTGCTGAATCAGATGTCCCTCGTGGCAGCCTTTCACAGAAGTATTGTTGACAACAGATGGCATCTGTTTTTGTTTTCAGCCTTCAGCATGTGCAACAGCATATTGCCAGAATGTTTTTGTGAAGTTGTCTTTCCTGTTAAAAGGGGGAGAAAAATGCGCTTGGGTGCGACTGGAGCTCTTAAAAGTCTGGGTCTGCATTTCTGTCAGAGCGGTCCTGGGGAGAGCCAGCGAGCAGGCTCCCCTTCCCAGCTCCTTTCACACGCTGGGACAGTTGGAAATCATTGTTCAAGGTTGTCTGCTGATAGCATGACATTCTGCATAGCAGGAAATTTCTCAAAGAAAGAGCTGGGAAAAGGAAGGGAGGGAGGAAGTTAACTGCAGATGAATACTTGATAGCAGCAGACATTGACCAAACTGCTAATCTCTGCCCAGATCCACAGAAGTAGAAGAGATTTTTCTCATATGTCATATGCAGTTTGGAGGAATGAAAACATAACTCTTTTTAAAATTACTTTTTGTGGAGTGTTTGCTTTCAGAGGAATATTTATTTTCAGAGTGTGCAGTTTTTGTGCAATTTTGCCTGAGAAGGCTTCTCTTGCTAAAAGGCGGGCAGGAGAATAATTTGGGAAAATAACACATTCCCTCCTTGGAAGCAGCTCAAAGAAAATAAGGAGCCAGTTTGTTGCTATTTTTTGGGTTGGTTTGTTTGGAGTTTTGATTTTGTTGTTTTGTTTGGTTGGCTGGTTTGTGTTTTTTGGTTTTTTTTGTTGTGTTTTTTTTTTGTGACAACTGTCTATTTAGTGTAATTTATCTGTTTTAGATACCATACTGTGAAAGATTTGTGCTTGTGTGATTTGCCATCAAGGAACTCTGGGACCCTACCTCCGTTCTTTCTCTGTCTCATTAAGTGTAGCTGTAGTTTCTCAGTAAGCATATGCATCTGCAGCATGTCTCACATCTTTTTCTCCTGCCATTGAGATGGAATGGGATCCTAAAATGACACATACCAAAATCAATGGAATGGACTTCTGTAACATAAATTACAAATGGAGGGAAACTTTCAGTAGTCCATTTGCTTAATTAAATTGCCTTTAAGGTAAGGCAGGGTTGAACTTTTCCCAATATATTTGAAGAAAGTGTAGGTCTGCCTTTTTTAGGGAAGCTTTTTTGATAGGTGAGTATCTTAGTCAATAAAACCTGCATACCTTAATGCAGTATCTAAATCATAATGGCAGGGAAGAAATACCAGACAAGATATCTGTGAACAAGAGACTCAACTGAAATAATTTGTATTTCCTGAAAACTCCTCTTTATTGCCACCTGCAATGACAAGAGGATCAATTCCACAGCCTTCATTCACACAACTGGTCCTGGTGAAATCAATACCATCATTAATGGATTCAGGGTCTGATGCAAGGGTAGTCCCGTGTACTCTAAATACACTTTGACACTGAGTGACGTAAGCATGTATTAGAAGAATAAGGGATTTTCCACAATTGCTACTTCATATACTCACAGCATTATTATGACATGGAGCAGCCTGAGAAAGGGGTAATTTCCCTTGTGCTTTTATTTCTTGTCCGACATCGATACCCATAATGCAACAGTGACACTGAAAGCTGGGTTATTTGAAAGGAAAGGAGGGCATGTAAGTTCCTCTGGCTGTCATTAGAGGGAAAGTTGAAGTGCATTAAGATGATTTCTTATTCTTCAGTGTCATTCATGGGGCCACATGCGACATGCCAGTCAGCATCTCAGTCCCATACAGGTTTAGGGCACAGTGCTTCTTGTTCCAGGTGGTGAGACTAGAAAGATAGGGCAAGGCCTGCAGGATGTCCTTTCTTCAGGACAAATAGAACATGAATGCCCTGGGACTGTTTAAGATATTCTGTTTTCTCAGTAGTTGTTTACGTGAGACCTATTCTGTGGGCTGTCTGAATTTGAATTTGTATTAAAGATCCAACTCCTGTCTGCCAAGGGTACAACTTGGTGCATTTGATCACTGTGTGTGAACAAAGGACAGGAAACCATATATGCCTGAGAGGACCAAGAGAGCAGCATTAACTGTCCATCTGCAGGGCTTGTCTGGACTCTCCTGGGTATGGGAGAAAGCACCCAAAAAGGCAACAGGGCAGAATGAGAAATGCAGTCCTGTGAATCTTTTGTTGCCTTTGAGAGGAGCTTCGTAGGGAGTTTGCAGGATTGGGCTCCAGGTGTACAAAGCCTGAGGCACGCAGGCCTGTGACTGCAAAGAGTGGGAGTCTGCCTTCAAAGGAAGCTTTCATTCTTTAAAAATTGCCTCCTCATAGTAACTACCCCCTGGCACCTTCTAACGAGGAAGCTGCTGCCTTACTAGAGCCTTCAGAAATATGCATGTGCAGGGGATGGTTTGAGGGTTTTGTTCATAGCTTCTGAGCGGTTAAATGGATGAAAATAGGTTTGGGGGGCAACTGTAACAAGTCACCTACGTATGTGTAGGTACTTACTCTTGGAGTGCTGATTCTTGTTGGGAAGATGTAGCTGGTCCATGCTTCTAAGCTGCTTGTCAAGGATTTGGTTAAGGCTGAAATTTGACCCAGAGACATGTGAAGATCAGATTAGATCTGACCATTCTGGATGAAACACTGAGGTTGCGGGACAGCTGAATTATGTGACTTTCTTCCCTTTTTTTTTTTTTTTTTTTTCCTGATGCCTTGGTACATTTCAACTGGCCCAGCAGGGAAGGATGCTCAATACTCAGTCATTTGGGATCACTCCCAGTTCTGGGGGAGCTTGCTCCTGCTTTTCTTGAAACAGATTTGATCAACCAAAAAGGTTAGAGAATGTACCACTGTTACGCAGCTGCTAGCCCTGCTGTGTTAGCTGTGTGGTTTCCATCCTGCATTAACAAAGTGCTGCATTTCATGTGTTTTTCCTTTGGAACTGTGCTTAGTGCTTACAAATGGTGTGGGACTTGCAGCCTGATTGCTGAGCAGACACCAGCGTTGGCAGTGTGGTCCCTACTGTGTCCCTCTCCTGGAGCATCAGGGGAGGGACCTCAGCTGCCCTTGCAAGGAAAGCTGCTTTCCAGTCTTTCTCACTTGAAAACCTCTTGACTGTTGCTTTGTTGTGCAGAAACTGTTGTGCATCCAGTGACAGCAGTGCCCAGACTCGCTGGGCTCCCCGGCAGTGAGGCAGGTAGGCTCTGAGCTGGGTCACCCCTCCACCAGTGGTCAGTGTCTCAGTTCAATGAGACTGAAGTGTTTTGTTAAGGATGATGAGTTATGAGGAAGACCAAACTCCTCCCTCTAAGCAACTGTAAATCTGAAATTAAGAGGCTCCAATTGAGGAAGTATGGAGAAAGGAAAAAATAACAGCCCTTTATTAAAGGATATATGTGTATGGGCAGAACAACAAGAGAACACAAAAACAACTAAACAATAATCCTGTACCCAAAGTCCCCTTGAAAAAGGAAACAGTTCAGTACTTTCCACCTTTTGGCGTAATTCTAACCACGATCAGCAGGAGGCAAACCACCCTCTCCCATTCAACATCTTTCTTTTACAGGGATGCAGGGGAAAGAAAAAATTAGAATTCCCCCCCTTTTTTTTTTTTAGAACAAGTAAACCTATGACAGTCAGGAGCCACCACTGCAAGTTTATGCCTCTTTCCCCCTTCCTGCCCCTTTTGTCTGCCCATTAAAAGGGAAAAACTCTGTCCATGAAGCATAGGGGCACCTCCTAATCAGAAAATCTTGTCTATGGAAGTGTTTATGGGTTCAAGCTAGGAAGAAGTGCTTATGGAGCCTGTCCTGCTGGCTTGCACTGAGGGCAGGACCAAACAACTGAGGAAGCAGGGGAAAGAGAGAAAGGGGAAAAGCAGCTGTATCTTAAGCCACTAGAGTAATTTTTCCTTTGAATTTTTTTCTATGGTCTTAAATACCTGGTGAGTCACTTCATGATCATGTGTCTGTTTCTCTATCTCCAAATAAAGGATAATCTGTACCTTTCTGTATTTAGCCCATTGGGTTGCTGGGGCTTAGTTCATTAGTGTTCATAAAGAACTTCTAATACCAAAATGCCAAGTTTAAGCACTTGCTAAAACCTTGACTGATTTCCCAGCACGAACTCAGACTTTTTTTTTCTTGGTTTGTTCACACAGACGTGTATTCTACTAGAAAGTAACTTCTAGATTAAGGGTATAAAACTGCTGAAGCCCAGTGAATGAGGTGGAAGATGTGGACCAGGCTCAGTAGTGACAGCATGCTGATGTGTCTGGAGGGAATTTCTTGGGTGCTTGCAGATTGCTTGCTGCACCTGAAACAATCTTCCTGTGAAGTTGTCATGCATGTTCCAAAACTGAGTGAAGACAGGTTTTGCATACAGATCCACCACAGTGTCATAAGCTTGGAAGCAAAACTCTTAAGGAAGCTGCTGAACCTTATCTGCTTGTTCAGTTTTGTGTCCA